ATATACTATCAACAGAAAGCTATGTGGTAACTTTCAATATGCTATCCAACACATGTCCAACTTATAGGACAAGTTTCCAACATGTATGCCACATAGACAACTTATAAAGCAATTTGTCAACATTTGTGACATTTGAACAAGTTATAGGCTAAGTTTTCAATCTATCAATCATCTACTAATAATTGGAAGGTCAAATCTGCATTTGTTAAGCTTCTAAGAAGCTTGTTTATAAGATTTTATCAAATTTACTTACTTTTACTTACTTCTACTTAATTCTTCTAATCTAGATAATTACTAATGTAAATATATATGTTTGTGAATGTGAGATAGAAAATTTCGTAAGATATAAGATTCAAATGTAGAATTCAACTTTTTTTTCTGTTTGATTTTTAAATATATGTTAATTTTTATTTTTTTATTATTCTTTTTATATATATGCCTTGTTATTTTTTCTATTTCTTAATTTGAAGACTATTTTTTATAATCACTTGATAATTTTGATTTTTTTAGTATATCTTTTTAAGCAATATTCTTATTTATATTAGGTCCTAATATATCTTTTTAGACTACCTATAATTCATTGCTAATTATTTATATTATCATACTTATTATTATTATTATTATTTTAATGAATTTTACTGAATAATAAGAAAAAAATATTTCTGTATTTTTATTTTTATTTTTTTCATCCATTTTTATTTTTTATTTGTTTTAAAATTCTATAAATGATTATTATTATTATTATTATTATTATTTATGTACAAAGCATAAATATAAAGTGGAATTAAACCTTTAAATTTTTTCAAAAGCCAATTTCACTACAACCACATATTTATCTATAAAATTCTTAAATCATAAAGCATATTGAAATATCAAAATAGTTCTTTTAAAAAATAGAAGAAATTTTCTTGTTGGTACTAAATTTAATTAAATGTGGATTTTCAATCTTTTAATATAAAAAATCTTTATTTTTATGTTTTTGATTTAATTAGATATATATTATTATTATTTTTTAAAGAAATATTTTATGTAACAAAATCTTCATGTTTTTTTAAAGTCACCTCTTTATTTCTTTTTGCATCTAAAGATACTGCTAAATTGTAATCAAAATTAAAAATTAAAGTTTCAAATTTTGTAATCTTATTTTATATTATAATCTACTCTCTCGAAATCCACTATAATTCTAAAATTCTAATCTAATACTTAGAATTATTTTAGAAGACAAATTTGATTTCAAATTTTCTCTTATTTGTGTTCTACAAGTAGAATAGCATCCATATCATATTTGTTTTGTAAATTAGAAATATATATATATATATATATATATATATATATATTTGTGTCCAAAATAATATATTTAAATTATAAATATAAAAAACATGCACACAATATCTTTATCAACTCAATTGTATTTGTATTTGTATTTGTATTTTTATTTTAATAATAATAGCTACTAAAATTGATATACATAATATATAAAATGTCATTAAAATTTAATTATGGTATTTATTGATTTTATATTTAACATAATAATTAAACTATAAAAAATTGAAGAATATAAATTAAAAAGCTGAAAAGTCTTGGATTTTAAAATTCAATGAAACAATAAAATGAAAAAAATGTAGTATCATACTTGGAATATTTTAAAATTTTAGACAAGAGTTTTAATATGATATTTATGAATTTAAGTAAAATAAAAACATATAGTTTTTAGTACATTTTTTAAATAGTTTATTTTTTTCTTTGTTTTTCTATAAAATAGAAAACTATGTTTTTTTTTATATGGAGTATACTACAATACTAATACATGTATAGAATGTAAAATCTTACACAGATAGAATTTTTAGATCAACAAAGGATTAGTAGATCCTCTCAATTGAATGAGTTTGTGTTTTCAAATCATTTGAATTTCTAATAATGCACCAAAACAATCAAACCAAAAAGTTGTTTCTAATAATTACAATTAGAGATAATTATCTAAATAAAAAACTAAAACTATAAAACTTCTTCAAGAGAAGTTTCATTATTTTTAGTAGTAGCTAAATTTTATTATACTTGCTGAAAAAATTATATTTTAAAGAAGATGGTGGTTTATTTTTTTCTATTAAATTTACCTATACACTTTATTGTAAAGTTTTCTAATAAATTCAACAATCTATGATTATAAAAAAAAAAAAAAAAAAAAAAAAAAAAATTGTTTGATGCGTGTGCCAAATATAAAGGAATCATTTAAATTTGATATTTTGGAAAAAATATATATATTCAGAATTATCATAAGATTTTTTTTTAAAATAAAAACATTTTCAGCCATTTTCCTGTGGTTTTTCAGTTAAAAATGGAGTATAAGTAGACAACAGCATTCCACTAAAAAAGAAATGAACACTTTAAGAGTAGGGTAACATAATTTTCGATCCAGAACTATCTCTGAATTATTCAGCTCTTCAATATTTGTCGAATTTGCTGTACACATCCTGAAAATTGAATGAAACAGTGATTCGATGCAACTTTGTAAAAGGAACTTGGCTTGGCTCTCTGACTGATCTGAAACTGTCTTCATGCCAACAGATTCTACGCTGGAACAGTCCCCCATGTGCAAGTTCTTCCGTGGAAAAGGTCCTGGCGCACCTGAACATTCCAAAAAACCCGATGCGCTGTGTCCATCTGGCAATTGAATGGCCAAGTTTACGAATCTTACGTGTATCATACCCGTCGAGGAGTATGTGCCCTTCTGACGGATATCTATCGGGTTGGGGGGGGGGGGGTATATATAAAGGTTTCCTCCACATATTTGCAGTGGAGTTTGCTTTTGAAAAATTGCATTAGGGTTCTCGGAGCTCTTTCTCAAAACTTTGCTTGCATGTTTCGCTGAGAAGCTTGGTTACTCTCGTACTTGCTTGCATAGCCGGCATACTGTCATAGATTTCGGTAAGGCGAGTTAGCCGCAAGAGGAGGTGTTACAGCTTTGGAGAGGGGAGGGGGAGTCGAGAGACAGCCACGGGTTCAAATTTGAGGAAATTCAGTGCAGGGACGAGAAACAACGGGTCTCAGAAGATCTGTAGCGAGGGGCAGCTATGAGTGGTTGGAATTATGTAGTTACGGCGCAAAAGCCTACCAATGTGACGCACTCGTGCGTCGGATACTTCACTAATCCGCAGGAGCTAAATCTCATCATTGCGTATCCTTTTATTTACGATACACTCGATCTCTTTTTATATTTTACTTTCAATGTTTGCAAATTATGCTGGTTCGCCTCCAAGCTTTCGATTGTGCCTACTCTATTGTATTGAACTGCGACAATTGCTGATGCTTGAGGACGAGTGCACTTGTTGGAAGAGGCGGTGTTGCAGGAATCTTTAGAATATCTATAAACTGTAGGTTTAGGTCAAGTGTGTAGTCGTTTGCGTGCCGATTGTGCTTTCCAGTAGGCTACGTACTATTTTTTTTGTACGTATTGAGACGTAATTGAGCTACCTCACGAGTAGAAGTTTTACAAGTCAACAACTTCTGTATTAGATTTATAGGTATTTTTCGTCTTGGGGATACAGAGGACAGTGGCGGTCCATGAAAGTGTCCAACTTGATTAATATAGCTCACGCACGAATGTTCTCGAGTACGTACTTGGTTTATCCCGAGTTGATGGAAGGCTGTCAATTATGTCATGGGTCCTCGCTTAGAAAGCGTTGTCCATTTTGTGTGTACAATTAATGTGGTATAGCGTTGGATTTTTCTCTTGGTATCAAGATATAGCCTTTTAAAGAGAAGGCGTACATGGAGGGACTATTTTACTGTTTCAGTAGCAACAGTTAGAATTGATGAATTATAACGTAAAGGTTGAGTTAGTAGTTCCAATGTTAAGTTTTCTTTCTGCATCACGTGTCATTGACGCAGTCATGCTAATCACTCAGTTGGAAAAGGGATCCTTGACTTTTATTTCAGAAAATGCACGCGAATCGAAATTCACCTGCTGACAGCATCAGGGCTGCAGGTAAGGATTCGTTTTGGTACCCTAAATTCTTTAAATTTTATTTGAAACTTACGTAGGTGTTAATTACGTCCTTCTTTTAGAATTTTATGCAGGTTCCTAAACAATCCCTCACTTGATCCGATTACAGCAGTGGAGCATTCACCTGTAGGATCACAATTGTTGAATACAAGGTCGTGAGAATTTTATGACACACCTTAAAATAAGTGCATTTCATTTTGAACCTCTTCAGTATGTCTTTCATTCCTGATATTATCAGAGGTAATTTTCGTCGTAGTACCGATGATAGTTCCAAGGAAATCGAATCTACTTTCCTGAACATTCTGCAGATTGAACACTGAAGAGATGCATATTTTATTACAATTAAAATTGTTCTTTATGAGTACTAAAACTATGTTTCCCCATAGCTTATAAAATGTGTTGTGAAAATGCATGCGCAGTTTTGCTACATTTTAAAAACCAGCTGATGTTGATGCTTTCTCATTATGCAGTCTATGCTCGATGTCCCTTTGTATGGCAGAATCGCCACACTGGAGCTCTTTCGCCCTCCTGTAAGTTACTGAACGTTAATACCTGTTTTGAAGCTATGGAGCTGTTTAAAAGTTTTTGAGCCAGGTTGAACTGGATTTTTTCATCATTTTGCGACTCTAAATCTACAGCGCAGCATGTTATCAAATGGTTTAACCTGCCATTGGGTAAAAGGTTCCTTATCGTACTTGTCAACATGGAACTCAGCGCTAGCATATGAACTTATAAAAAATATGACGCAACGAAAACTTTATTGTTGTGCTTTTCTTACAGGGTGAGTCACAAGACGTGCTATTTATATCGTTCGAAAGATATAAATTTTGTGTTCTTCAATGGGATGCAGAAACCGGCTCACCTATTACACGGTAAAAAACTGGACTTTCATTATGACGTCCTTTAGTTCAGTTGGTCGAGTCACTTAGTGTCATATCTTTTACCCTTCTACTTTCCCTGTCTTGGACGTTCTCAAAGTAAACATTCTCAGTAGTGCATACTTCTCAGTTGTCGTAATGGTTAAATGCAGAGCGATGGGAGATGTATCCGATCGAACTGGTCGACCAACAGATAATGGACAGGTGTGTACTTGAAGGATTTGTTTTGCTTACAACAAAATATTATGTCGAGAAAAGGAAGAGGTTTAAGGCTTTGTTCAAAGTTATATTGAGGTTTAAAGTTTGAATTGCATATTGGTACAATGTTTTGCTGGCTTTTGGTTTTCCCTTTAGTCAAGTCTCAGGTTTTAGAGATTATGTGTGTGGATATATGTTTGGACTTCTATGACTGTGCCGTGTTCTCTTTTGTTTCCAGATTGGCATTGTTGATCCCGATTGCCGTCTTATTGGTCTTCACCTTTATGATGGGATGTTTAAGGTTCGCCCTTAGCTCCTCACATATCTGCTGTGTTACTGATGATCTGTGTTCAGCTCTTGGTATGATATCTAGATTGCTTTGCGTTGAATCGAGGAGGTCCTCTTTGGTTTGTATCTGAAGGTCTTTTCTTGCCGAAGTTGGCGCTTGTTTTAGTCATTGCATGTGTCAGGTATTTGGGAGTTGTAGCATTAATAATCGAAGTGATAGTTTGCCACCTGCTCTTATTCATAATATATTCGCTGTTTTTCAGAGTAAATTTGGCTAAGAAATCGGTTCTTGTAGGTGTGCTCAGAAGTTTCAAATAATGAATCTCGTCTTCTCAGTCTCCAAATCACATGCTGGAATTGAAATTTAACAATTGCCAATGACCAATTTTTTATATATTTTTAGGTGATTCCTATCGACAATAAAGGTCAACTTAAAGAAGCCTTCAATATTAGGTATGAAAAACATCGTCCTATATAGATTGAACACCCTCGCTGCTTTCATACACTTTCTTAGTGTAGGTGTTTGTAATACATCTCTTTTTGGTTCCCTCTTCTCTCTCCACTGATCCTGTTAGAAATAATTTTCTACGTAATCTAGTGCCTTGCAAGCGTTTCTTTATTTTCTTACTTCAGAAGGTGCGTCATACAGGTTGGAAGAACTGCAAGTGCTCGACATTAAGTTTCTCTATGGCTGTGCCAATCCTACCATTGCGGTTCTTTATCAGGTTGAATCTCGTCACACTTTTGACTCCAGGACTCAATTTGTCGTCAATGGCGATCTGATTGCCTATTCTGCAGCAGAGCTGAAATATATCTAGGGTACTCGTATAATGTAGTTCTCTTCTTGTAAGAGACTGATGAATTGTTTAAGAGGTTTTATTTTTCGAGAGTAATGCTTAGATTAAATGTTCTGATAATCAGAAAGTGAATTTTGAAGGGATTATATTTTTTCCAAGCACTGACGCATCTTTTCTGATGGATTCCATTAGGACAATAAAGATGCAAGACATGTCAAGACGTATGAGGTGAATCTAAAAGAGAAAGATTTTGGAGAGGGTCCATGGTTGCAAAATAACCTGGACAACGGTGCAGGCCTGCTGATTCCTGTCCCTCTTCCATTAGGCGGTGCTATCATTATTGGGGAGCAGACTATTGTTTACTACAACGGCTCTGTTTTTAAAGCGATTCCTATCCGACCGGTACTTAAGTTCTCTTTCATTCTTGTTTCCTTGTTTTTTGAGGCCCCTCCTGTAGAGACAACCAGGATATGAAGCCCGTTTCAAACTGTAGCTGCATGAGTCTTAGCATAACTTGGGCATTTGAGTAATTTCAATCAATCTAGTTTAAAAAGAATCCCATGTTGAGTTGTAAGCTGGAATACTTTAGTGAGCTAGAACTTGATGGGAATGAATGAACAAAACTTTTAGACTTGCTATCGTTTCAGCTTTGAGAAGGATGCGTTTTCGGAACTCTGGTTTTTCCCTGAGTTGATACTCATGGTAGATACGCTTGGTGGGGTGTTCACAGTCAATCACAAAAGCTTATGGACGAGTGGACAGTGATGGGTCTCGGTACTTGCTGAGCGATCACAATGGCATGCTATACTTACTTGTTATCTCGCATGATAAGGAAAGGTTAGTGTTTTATATTCTCAGGAGTATCGTTTACCTGAAACGAAAATACATTTTATCAGCATTTTGCGATTGTAATTATATTGATAGATATATAAACTGTGATTGAGTGATTTTTTGCAGGGTCTCAGCCTTGAATGTGGAGCCACTTGGGGAGACATCAGCAGCATCTACTTTGTCCTACCTTGACAATGGTGTAGTATTTGTCGGTTCCAGCTATGGAGATTCGCAGGTTTGTTTATTTGATCTTTCATTTTCTCTGTCTTTAATCATGTTTTTATGTTTGAATGTAGTGAATTAGTTTTTTTTATTTGAGAATCTTCAAAGCTATGAACAATAGCCCTTCATGATGCGGATCTTTATTTTTAAGGAGACGGAACTTCTTGGTGCTTTTCTCTGAGTTACTATATTTGCACTTGAAAGTGCTTGGTGTGCCCTACGTACACCGATTCCCTTTGCAGCTACATTTTGAAGTCCACAAGATAATGATAATATCTGATTTGGCTCTGCAGTTGATTAGATTGAACCACCAGGCAGATGTCAAGGGATCCTATGTTGAGGTTTTGGAGAGCTTTGTGAATTTGGGTCCAATTGTGGATCTTTGTGTTGTGGATCTTGAAAGGCAAGGTCAAGGTCAAGTAGTAACCTGCTCAGGTGCTTTTAAGGATGGTTCCTTGCGTATAGTGCGAAATGGTATTGGCATAAACGAGCAGGTTAGTCTCTGTTTCAGTTTGCTGGGGGGTAGTTTAGTAAAAACTTGTGCTATGTGACTATGTTTTATTACTAGTAGTATTCTGATTTCAACATTCCGTGTATCAGCTCTCTATCTCTTGTATCGCCTAATCGTTGGTTATCTATAATTTCCATTCTTCTTGGCCGATGAAAACGAAGCAAATGTATGGATTTTGTAATTATATCGCATGTATTGAGGCATCCATGAGGTGATTCTTGCAGGCCTCTGTAGAGCTTCAGGGCATAAAGGGCATGTGGTCACTGCGAGCATCTTCAAGTGATGTCTATGATACATTCCTTGTTGTGAGCTTCATTAGCGAGACACGTATTTTGGCTATGAACACGGATGATGAGCTTGAAGAAACCGAGATCGATGGTTTTGACTCTGAAGCTCAGACTCTCTTTTGTCACAATGCTGTCCATGATCAACTTGTGCAGGTACAGGCCATGAATTATGTTGAGATTTTATTCGTGCAGGGTCATAAAATTCATGTGTTGTTTCTTGCTCTTAGTGCAAGGGGCAGGTTTGTAATGACGTCTCCGTTCTAGTTTATGTGATTTTCTGTCTTACTGTTTCCTGATTTTTTATCATTCAACGCAGGTCACGGCAGGCTCGTTGCGTCTTGTTAATGCAAAGACTAGGAAACAGCTCACTGAGTGGAAAGCCCCGGCACCAATGACGATTAATGTTGCTACTGCTAATGCATCTCAGGTTTGCCCTGATACTGTAGTATTGGAATCTTCAATTTTACAAAGTCAAAGCAGTATGTTATGATGGACTTAGTCACTAATCTCTTTGTCTTTGTTTCACTTATTTTATCATATGGTGTCGTTTTTCTTGGTGAATAGCGTTCTTTGGCTGCATCCTTGTACTTTGCTGATTTTGTCAATAAAATGGATGATCAGGTCTTGCTTGCAACAGGAGGTGGAAATCTTGTATATATTGAAATAGGGCAAGGTACACTCACAGGGGTGGCACATTCACAGTTGGAATATGAGATCTCATGTTTAGATATCAATCCTGTGGGAGAAAATCCTGAGCGCAGCAACTTGGTAGCAGTCGGTATGTGGACAGACATCAGCGTTCGAATTTTTGCGTTGCCGTCTCTTACCTTGATCAACAAAGAAATGTTGGGTGGAGAAATCATACCCCGTTCTGTCCTCTTCTGCTCTTTCGATGGGGTGAGGCTGCTTAATCTTGTGCACCTTTTTTCTTTTTGAAAGTAATTATTGCTGTAGTGTCCATCTCAGGATGTAATACTATCCTTCTGTGGAAAGTTCAAGTTTTTCCAGTATGTTGTGACGGTGAGTCCTGTCCATACAGCAGTACCCTACTCTGGGAATGAGTACAAATGGGTCTGAAGATATTGATTTATTGTGTTGTTACCCTCTAGTTGTCCTGCTTAGACAGATATTTTGTGTACCAATTGCCCTGCTTATCTGAGATTAATTCCCCTAATAACGTCTTCTGTTAGCAATTTGAAATTTACTTCGGGTGTCTTCAATTGTGATCAGAGTTTAATCTACGCTTTGTGGTGTATGTACAGTTGGCGTACTTGCTGTGTGCTGTGGGGGATGGACACCTGTTCAACTTCATGCTAAACCCTTCGACTGGAGAATTATCTGACAGGAAGAAGATATCTTTGGGCACACAACCTATAGCATTACGCACCTTTCGGTCCAAGAATACTACCCATGTGTTTGCGGCCTCAGACCGTCCAACAGTGATATACAGCAGCAATAAGAAACTTTTGTATAGCAACGTCAATTTGAAGGAAGTCAATCACATGTGTCCATTCAACTCGGCATCGTTTCCGGACAGGTTCGTTTTCAACCACCTAACTAACGCAATTATTTCGGAGGCCTCATTCCAGATGTGGATGGCAGAAAGCTGCATCATACGCCACTTTCATACTTCAACATTCGCAGCATAGAATATTACTTTGTGTCATACTTTAAATTTATGAACTAGTTGAATACATTAAAGTAAGGACCTTCATGACTGACTGATTTCGATAACTTCCAGTCTTGCCATCGGAAAGGAAGGGGAGCTCACAATCGGCACCATTGATGATATTCAAAAGCTTCATATTCGCACAGTTCCTCTTGGCGAACGCCCTTGCCGTATTGCTCATCAAGAACAATCTCGCTCGTTTGCCATATGTTCGGCCAAATATTCACAAGGGCCCAATAATGAAGACATAGAAACGCATTATGTACGGTTGATTGAAGATCAGACATTTGAGATAACATCTGGATTTGCTCTCGATCTGTACGAAATTGGATGTTCTATAATCACATGTTCCTTCACTGACGACTCCAACGTATACTACTGTGTAGGGACGGCCTATGCACTTCCGGAAGAAAGTGAACCTACTAAGGTTAGCAATTTTTAACTTGTCTTTCAAATTTCTATGTTGAGTTTTCTGGTTTATTTTAACCACATGAAGCGACATTTTCTTTTTATTCATAGCTTCAAGCTCATCTAACAGTCTGCAATGACAAAAGGTGTCTTCGTCTCACTTACAAACATGTTCTGTTGAAACAGGGTCGGATACTTGTTTTTTTGGTGGAGGATGGCAAACTTCAGCTGGTAGCAGAGAAAGAAATGAAGGGGGCTGTGTATAATTTGAATGCTTTTAATGGGAAATTACTAGCAGGCATTAACCAAAAGATTGCTTTATATAAGTGGACATTAAGAGATGGAACAAGGGTTTTGGAGATCGAATCTTCCCACCATGGGCATATATTGGCATTGTATGTTCAATCACGAGGAGATTTTATCGTTGTGGGAGATCTGATGAAGTCAATTTCGCTTCTCATTTACAAGGTTTGTAGTTTACAAATTGCTGATTTTATCACCATAAGATTATTACATTTCATCCTTTTACCCTGGTATGGGTTCTTTGCTTCCGTCTTGATTGCTTTCCATCTTTTTTAATCAGTTGAAGAGGTAAGAAGTAATAGTAGGTTGTTTAATGCTTGAAGAAATGACCTGCATTGAGTCCGGCAGCCTGAAGAGGGAGCGATTGAGGAGAGAGCTCGAGACTACAATGCCAACTGGATGACAGCGGTTGAGATTCTGGATGACGACACTTATCTAGGGGCGGAAAACAGCTTTAATCTTTTCACAGTGAGGAAAAACAACGATGCTGCTACAGATGAAGAAAGAGGTCGATTGGAAGTAGTAGGTGAGTACCATCTTGGCGAGTTTGTGAACAGATTTCGCCATGGATCTCTTGTGATGCGACTTCCAGACAGCGAAGCCAGCCTAATTCCAACTGTCATCTTTGGAACTGTGAATGGAGTTATAGGAGTCATTGCTTCCCTTCCACAAGATAAGTTCTTGTTCCTCCAGAAACTACAACAGGCTTTGGTGAAGGTGATTAAGGGTGTAGGTGGGTTAAGTCACGAGCAGTGGCGCTCTTTCAGCAATGAACGCAAAACTGTGGATGCTCGCAACTTTTTAGATGGTGACCTAATAGAGTCCTTTTTGGATCTGAGTAGAAACAAGATGGAAGAAATTGCCGCGCCACTTGAGATTTCTGTCGAAGAGCTTTGCAAACGAGTAGAGGAGCTCACTAGATTGCATTAAACTACTTTAAACCTACTGTCCAATTTCATCCTTATCTGTTAGTGAAGGTGGACGCCGGAATTCCTTGTTATTACGGCACTGGAGTCTATCCAGTTGTGCATTCAAGCCCTAGTTCTTAATGGGTACTGTAGCCCGTGTGTGTTGATTCAAATCCGTAACGTTACGGGTATTAGACTTGGGCTGATGGGCGGGAGTTAGCTTTTTGAAAAAGTTTTCAATCTTAAGAAACTACTCATCCTAATAATGTAGGAAAAGTTTTCAACTTAAGAAACTAATCCTAATAATATAGTGGCGACTCACTATCATGATGTACGTGCGTAGTTGATTTTGTCAGTAGTAGATGCATTGGATTTTTGTGAAACATAAGAATTGAGAGAATATCGTACGAAAACGGGGTCAGTGCCGTTCGTTGTTGCGCGAATTAACTCATGGAGAATAGATTTCTACGAGTTAAAATGGTTGAGTTTTAGTTATATATCTTTGTGAAATATTTGCATTATCTTTTTTTGGAAAGACAATAATAAAACTATGAACTGAGAGAAAGCGAGTTTTATTTGAAAGTCAAATTTTGACTTAATCGTTAATTATGTCTATGTGCTTGAGTTGGTAAGATTATTAGATGGAAGTGTTTTTAGCTTTGATTAGAAGTAATTGATATTAAAAAAAAAAAAGTACATCCCTATGATGCCATTGCCATCCCAAATAATTGTTTGATAATTAAGGAGGTTTTAGAATCAACTTGGATGGTTACAGGTTGTTAGAAAGTGTCATTTCAGGATCTTATACATATAATAATTCTTGCATCTAACTTTAAGTAAATTAATTAGTAGTGTACAAAAGTTGAAGTTTTGTTGTGTAATGGATTAAAAGCTATAAAAAATAGAGATTTTGGTGTGGCAATAATATAGCTCTTGCAAAAGCTATAAAACAAAGTGATTTCTAATCAAGGTAAAAAAAATATTTTGATTTTATAGAAATCAGCAATAGAAGGTTTAAAATTCAAATGGCTTCTTCAAAAAGCATTGTCTTTAATGGTAGCTTATCACTAAATCAATAGAAGTTTTAAGTAGAGACAAACTTGACTTTTTAAAGAAATTTGAATTTTTAAAAAAGTTACAATTTTTTCAAAGTAAGGCTCTAATCTTTCTTTAAAAAATCATGTTTTAAGATTTTATATTCTAATTGAAATTGCATTTGAAATATACAACTAAAATAGAAGTATATAAAATTTTATACAATTTTGTAAGCTTAAATAATACAAGTTATGAATTTTATAAATTATCAAGAATAAAGCAATACTTTTTGAAGGATTAAAACACCTTGAGAAAAAAATATTTAAGAAAATATTAAATATTCCTACTTGGTAATGTAAATTTGTTAAGATGATACTATGAATGATTTATAAAAGAAATTGGAGGATTATAACTAATTCAAATCATAATAAAAAATATATATAAACTACAAATTAGAAAGAAAAATACAATGGCAAGCCAAGTAACACATTATCAAAATAAAAAAAAACAAACCATCAACAATAATCTAAATAAGGAATAGCACTATAGATGTGATAAGCTCAAATTTATTTTTAAATTATTACAAACAAAAAATACACATTAATACATTAATACATTAATTTCTTTGTTGTAAATTTATTTATAAAAAAAATTATTAATAGCTAACATTCATTTTGAAAGTAGAGCATATAAAAAAATATCTTACTGTTTGATTATATTGAAGACATGTATATTTTTTTATAGATTTCAAATTTACAAAAGAATCAAAATTATGTATGCAAAAAAAATAATAAAAAATAAAAAATAAAAATCAATAATAATTGATAATTTTACTACTAAGTTACTTTATAATCATAGGTGATTTTGCACAATTACATGTGACTTATTCCAAAAATCTTATTAAAAAGATTACATAAAATATGAAGAAAATTATATATATATATATATATATATATATATATAGTAGAATATTTGAATATGTAGTAAGATATTGAAATAGAAATACTCAAATATAACTAACATGTTGTGCATTTTAGTATATATATATATATATATATATATATATAGTCTAATTATAATTCTTAAGAAGCATGTATTTTAAAAATTGTAACTTGGAGACTTAAGATTCTTTTTGAATTTTACAACTATAATTTTCTAAAGAAAAAGATACAAAGTAATTTAAAAAGACAAAGCTTAAGATGAATTTGTTTCATATAAAGTCAACTTTTACTTATTAGTGCTCAAAATTACAATTATAGTTATAAAAATATTTTACATAAAGTGACAAATATAATATTTTGTGTATATTATTAGATATTTAATTAATTCTATTATACCAAGATATATATATATATATATATATATAGATATACATATATATATATGTATATAATATTTAATATCAAATTTATTATGTCTATACTAAAAATAATTATATTTTAGTTTTATAAATTTTATAAAATTACCATATAAAGAAAAGTTTATAAATAATCAATATATGTGAATTTAATTTCTCCAAAAGTAAGTTATATAATACTATGGAAGTAACAAGTATGTCAATGAAAGTAAATAAGTGAAAGTTTGAGAAATTCCTAATTTAATGTAATACATATGAATCAGATGTATTTTAAATAACATAATCTTTAGAGATCATCTTGTGACATAATAAATGTACATATGTCACAAGATGATCATTCTACCAAAGCAAATGATGGATTTTAGGAATAAAGCTGTATCGAAATTCAAATTACCTTTGAGACATTGAAATAGTTAAATAAAAATAATTTTAAAACATAAGAACCAAAGAATTCATTTGTTGTAAAATCATTATGTAAGACCACTCAAATACTAAACAAAATGTCAAAATTCTTTGTGAAATAAAAAGATATAAAGTTTTATAGATGCAGATTTTTTTGAATGACTAGATAACAACCCATTTCTTTTATTTTTATAATTTTTATAATTTATGTGGCATATTATTAAGAAACTAAAGAAGCTAGAAACATTTATATTAAAAATTATCTAGAATACACTTGTTTCTTGTATGTATTTACAACTTGTTCATAAAGGCTATAGACAAGGTGTTGGTATGTGCACTTGAGGACTTGGGGATAAACACCAACAAATATACTTGTGTGTTTGCAAAGTATTGATGTTTTACTCATTTCTTTTTTCCTTCAGCTCTCTTGTGAGCAGCATCTCTATCACCACCCTACCTCTTGGACCACATCCAACATTCTATCATTGCTAGTGCGAGTACACTGATGTAGGTTCCTATTGTAGCCATGTGTTTTACTATACATCAGTTTAAAAATCAGTTCACATGGAATTGTTTAAATATTTTATGCTCAATTATTTGGGTCAAATGTTTTATAATTTAAAGATTTATTGCGACATATGTGTTGGTGTCTTTATATTACGAACGAGATATCTTAGAAGCCACATGTGAGGAGTAAAAATAAAGTAATACATGCTTATGATGTATAAGAAAATATCAAATTGCAGTACAAGTGGATTTCTATATGATTATTTTATGCACATTAATAAAGTGCCACAAAAAATGATCATATTACTGTTTAAACAAAATTCCTTGGACAAGACAGAGGTTTGCAGATTTAGACAAGACTGAAGTTACAACCTAGACCACAAATATATATCACAGTTGCTGTAAAGGCGAAGCAAGCACAGTATGAAGAGAAAAAAAATGACTCAACAATTTTAATGGGATTGAATCCCATTACCACTTTTGTGGGATACAGAGAGGTGAGAAGTGAAACCACGGGTTGTGGACTTCTCTAGAATGACCCTCATTGTAAACTTGGACCTATTCTTTTGGATAAAGAATTGCTCCCAAAACGCTCAATACATTATTGGCCAACACAGTGCAATAAATTTCACATCCTAATGCAACTCTCACATGATAACTAGCTAAATGACCGCAAGACAACACACCCCAACAAAATTCTATATCAATTGAACAGACTTCGGATTATGCCACTATTGCAGGGCAACTCCCGCACCTGCAGCAACTGCCTTCTCCATAGCCTCCTTCTCAATTTCCTTCCGCCTCTCTTCAGCGTGCTGAGCTAAGCCATGAGCCCAGGCCTGCTGTTGGAAGTCCAAAGAGCCAGACAAAGCTTGGAATCTTGCAGGATCAGATATCGACATTGCTGAACAAGGAGACGGCAACATTAGAGGCTTTGCCGTGAGAAATAGAAATACAGTTACCTCCAGTATGGAAGTGAAATGAACTTTCAAAAGAGAGAGAAGTATGTGGTGCAACAAACCTTTCATAGCATCAGAGAAGAAGATGAATGCATCGACGTTGTCAATAGGAGCCTGGAACTCCTCGTCATCGGCATAGTCCTCAAAGTCAGAGTCGGAATCGTCCGCATGTGAAAAAGCCTTGGCCTGCAAAAACAATGCATAGCGTTCAAGATTTAGACACTTCGTAAAGAAAAACGTTCTCCATGAGTAAACGTGTATGTTATTGCCTAATCGCAAAAACACCGAAGATGTGTTCTTTATACGCGCCTGAGCTGCTAGCTTTTGAAGCTTCTCCGTGCTCTCGTCACCCTCATCTTCGTCATCATCGATCTCTTTGTCCCATTCCCCATCATCGGCTGTCCCATCCCACTCCTCTTCGTCATCGTCTTCTACCTCCTCGACCTTCGCTGCCTCTGCACGCTGCTCTTTGTACGCAACAAGCAACTTCAACAGAGCCTTGAATACTTGATCCAAGCCTGCTTGAAGTTCAGGCGGCATGGCCGCCGTAGGGACTACCAATAGTGAAGCCAACCCTAGAATACAAACCTTCTTGTCGTGCTCCCTAATGAACCAAAATATATTGTTAAAGACCCCGGTCTAACATGAAAATCATAGTTCGAAGTACCAAGGTTCAAAAGTAGGAGCCATACACCGAAGAGCCAAAGTACCAAGCATTGTAATAGGATGAGATAGTACCTGACGAAGTGCAAGGGTTTGCCGGATTTCTTGACCTCATACAGCATTTGGAACCACGATTGGAAAATTTCGCTGGTCACTCCCAAATGTTGTAGAATGGTAAGGCACATGGGTGCATTATAATAAAGTCCGTTGGCAATCACATTCACGAGCAAGTCCTTCAAGTAGTTCTTCCTTGTTTTGCGAAGCCTCTCTATGCTAATACGCAGGTAAGGCTCCAACCATTGATCCACTCGTCCTCGGCAGTTTTGCAGCACTGCTTCGATCAACTTCGGAGCTGGTTCTATGTCACTGTCTTCAAGTTTCTCAGCAGCCATTAACTGCCAAGAAGGCACTGATAAGTACCACCAAAAACCATTACACCAATTGCAGGAAGGTCTACAAGGATTTTATCAAACCGAAGGAAAGATCTTTGGTAAGACTTACTGTAGATATGACTTTGAAGAGGCTTGTTTGGTAATCTGGCTGTGTACATGTCAAGAAGTGCTCTGTGCTTCTTGAAATATAATTATCCAATGGCACCAAAAGATCTGCACATGGTAACCAATAGGTATGTAAGAAACTAGTCCCAAGCGTTTCATCGGCAGTTTCAAATGCTTGCACTCTGCTTCATATACTCCATTGTCAAATTCGTAAGATGAATTATCATAGACCTTTAAAACGAGCGCCAAAGGTATCAAAGCACTCTGTAACAATACTCACTCTCAAAATAATCGATAGCCCATTCCAGAAGTGCATCGACCATGAGCGGCCACAGACTCCACATGTTCACTGATATTACAGGCGAGAAATAAGTCATGTACGATACTATCTCCAAGACCTCTTCAAACACATCTGCAAACGCCACAATGCACATGCCAGTGAGTTTTCGGTAAGGTTAGGGACCACAGCATTCTCTAAAAACTAAAATTGACTCGGACATCAAAATCGAGGTACACGAACATCTTATTTAAATCATACCCCATATCTACATGAAGGCAGGCATACTAAAAGAGCTTAAGGCGAGAAATGGAACCACAACAATGCTCTTAACATTCAACAAGAGTTAGACTCTTAAGTTACAGCTTGCTTACAGAAGACCACCTCAGACGAGTAAAGAAGCTCACCTTGACCGTCAGTAGTCAGCATTCGTTGCATGATGGGGAGAAGTGTTGGCTCAATAGCAGGATAAATTTCAGGTAGCCGACTAACAGACTCCAAAATGGTGCCGATAGCTCTCAAGCAACCCACTGCAGCTAGAGCTCCAGAATCATCCTCGTCATCATCAGTCTCTGACGACTCTAGACACTTCCAAAACGCAGCAGCCTGTCCAGTAAAACTCACAGGATTCGTAAAAGGTGTGAGATTCATTCCTCTATAGAAGCATGAGCAGCACAAACAATGAGATAGACATCGACTAAAACCAATACTTCGGCCAGTACGAATACGATCATACATAGAACACGTATCCCACAGAGTACCAACAGAAGCCAACAATCATTTTCATGGGGCTTAAGTTCAGGGACTGTAATCTCCTATACCAGATTTTGGCAGAGACCAAGTGCATAGGGTGCCATTTCTTCCCCGAATTTATCCACAATTGTCTCCAATGTGAAGACAAGGTCCTCATTCTCGACTTCGTTCATCAGCTTGAAGAACTCTGTATAGAAAAAAGCACAACTGGCATCACATTTAAAATCCAGACAGGGGATTGTTCTTATATACTTTGGTATTGGACAATGACGCGGGACCAGTTTCCCTAGTTCCTAGGAAGAACATGAATAAATAAATTTGTAAATAGTTCCGCTTCCGTAAGGATCTTACCATCAAGAAGTTGAGGTAATATTGGCCGAATCTCACTAAGATCTGCAAGGCAACAAAAATGACGAAAGAACTCAATTTGATGCCAAAATGGGATAAACCAGAAAATTTCGAGCTAGCTTCGAAGCCACGGGATCAAATTACAAACATCTCTACCAGAAACACTTGCGAACATTGGTAACGATGACAACCTCTTTGAAAAGAAGAAATTGGACAAAGTGTGAAAGAAAATACTGTCTGCAAAGAGACTGAGTAAAGTGAACGCATACCTTTGCACGCTTCGACGAACGTCCGGAGAGAAACAACAGAATCAACCCGCACTGGAAGCTCAGGATCAGTGAGGGCTGCGACAACACTATGCAAAGCAGAGGTAAAATGACGCTGATCTGAGAAAGTAATATCAGCATACTGTCCCGCCACCCAAGCAGCCTGCAACAATCAAAATTGAATAGCAAGTAAAGTCGGGATGTTATTGTTCTAGTAAAACAGAATAGTGCCAGTACCAAAGATATTCATAACCAAATACAAAGAAAATTACACAATGGCCTTCACTGCTGTATAGGCCACAATGGCGATTTCTCCGTCATGCACGTTCGTAGACATTCACATCAAGATGTTAGAATGCAGATACAAAAACAGAACCATGCCAACAAGAAGAAGGCAATGCCTTGAAAGTACCTTGGCTCTAAGATGACCGGCAGGGCTTCTGAACTCAGGATACACATGGTTAACCAACATGTGCTCAAGTTGGGACTTGTAAGGCTCCGTAAGTTTCAGCTTGTCATTCAAAGCGCCAACAGCTAGCAAAGCTCCATCCTTTTGCCTATATGGTTTCTGGTCTGCTGGGGCTTCATCATATCTTCTGAAAACCTCAACAATGAATGATAGAAACTTCTGCAAGTTCTCCTTCCCTCGCTTTCTGACCAATTCGGAAATGAAGTTGATAGCTGCAGTACGAGGACTATACATGTCCTCAATGATATCTGTGGAAGATAATAAGCACATTCAGAACCAGATATCAGTCACCACCACAAAAGTAGAAAGATTTACCAAGAGTGCAAGCACGTCCATTGTTGTTGGAAACATCACCAAAAAAGATCAAAAACCGGATCATGACACACACAGCCTAGTTGATAAAAGAACAATGCCACAAAGTAAGGTTGAATGAGCATGTACTTACCATAACCTTTCCGGACATATTCATGTGGATCTTCTCGCCATAGTACATCATCAGCATCATTGAAACACATAAGTGGGAATATGATTTCAAACAGGACCACATCAAGTTGAGGTTTCAACAACTGATAAGTAACAGCCTTGGACACACTGCAAACAAACAAAATATATCAATCAATCACTTCGAAGAATTCTCAGACTTAGAAAAGAAAAATATATCTAGAAAGCTACATACAACATATAAGACAGTTAAAACAGAAGACTGAATCAAAGATCGTACACAGAATCACACGTGTTTAACGGCTGTGCAAATTGATGTTCTTAAATACCTGGTGCTGAGGTACTGCAGAGCCAAATTGATGACTCTGTCAGGTAGATACCCATTCTCCCGCACAACACTAAGCAGCTTCATATAAAGCTCTAAAAACTTTCCAGAAAAATTCTTTTGAAACATCAGAGCAAAAGCCTTGTTCTCGGGCTTAGACATCTTCGGATCTCCAAATCTGAAAAACCACAAAGGAAAGCGGTAAGAATGAGAAAAGACATAAAAAGTGGGAGACAAATCTGAGTGATGGTGGGCAAATCTCCCACTGTAAGACACGAACATTACAGTCCACGAGCTCACCTATTGTAAAGTCGGTTCATGATATGCAAAGTCCACTTTTTCACTTTCCACCACCCCCACACTTTTCGTTGCTCAGGATTTGTAGGCTGACCCTCCACAGGAACAGGCCTCTCCAAAAGATTGTGAAAGCTCGACATCCATGCAGTGAAAGTGTTCACATCATGCAAGAGCTTTGGTATCTCCAGCTGCAAATAATACAAGAAGGTAACATGTCCATCAGCAGACCGGTCTACAAAGATTGATGAAAATAAAGACTCAGATAACATGGACACAATAGTTGCAATGCATGATCTATTGAATCAAGTTGAAGCTTTATATTATTTCTTACATAAGCTGACGACCAGAAAATCTTCAATATCAGCTTGATAAGATCTGCAACTTCGATTGCAGGATTCGGGAGTGCTAAAAGATGGTTCAATATTTCTAACAGAACTGGAAAAGTCGTATTAATGATATGATACACTGGCATTCGCTCTTCTTCATCCTTGAACCTGTAGACAAGGAACTAAACTGTTAAAATGATCCATATGTCCGAAATAAATTAAGCGCCTGCCAGAGTAACACCCTGGGCACGATTTATAGCAACAGCCGCAGATTTGTTTATATACTAAAAATGCATGCTGACTACCGTAGTAACAATATTTTAAGCACATTGCATATTTCTCCGTGGCTATTCAGAATCACAAGCATTGCACATATGTTTGTGTGTAGGCAAAGAAAATGTGTGATACATGTTAGTAATAGTGATTAGAAGAAACTTACTCATATTTGCGAGTTAAAATGCGTAGAGCATAAAGAGCACCGTAAACTCGCTGTTGGTCTTGAGACTTCAAATTGTTGAAAATCGCAGGAAGAAGATCCGGCCAGTGCTCTGGATAATCGGCGTGGATGCAAGTCTTCAAGCATTCACCAAGTTGGACCCTGGTGAAAGTTGCATACAAAATAACAATATGTCATGAATAAAACTTTCCAATAATGCTTTCCTAAACACCTAAGTATTCTTGCTCACGTAATTCCATCACTCACCAATTCGAAAAACTATTGTCATCCACGTGAAACTAGACCTTGTAAGTATCAAATTAGGATTGGAAAATAACATGAAACTTAAAATAGCTTTTACGAGCAAAAAAACTAACCATTGCTCAAACATGACGTTACCTGATTATGTAAGGAGCCTGCACAATCGCCTCCAGAAGATGCTCTCTTACAAGGGCCTTATCGGTATCAGATATTTTTGGTACTACAACTGCAAATGACGACCACTTACAATCAGATCCAGCACACTAGTTATTACATTCAAACTCTATTACCTACGAGAAAATGTCATGCACAAGTGAAAATGGTTTGGACTGCTTACCAGGTTCTCGAGGCACCCAATCTCTAGCAATCACGTTTTTGAAGTAGATACTGGCAACCTGGCGAATGGACAGGTCTATGTGTGTCGCCACAATAATTTGTAGCAGTCCCGCAAGATGCCCCTGAACATGTTGATACTATACCAAAGAAAAATTATACGTCAGCACTAGAAAAACTGCAATTAATACCTACATATCTGGAAATGATTTACCCGTCATGGTCCTCTCCCTTGCTTAGATATAAACATCAGTTCAACTTTGAGAAAAAAGCGTATGTCCCGCGCGTATCTAAATGACTACTGCAGCAGTGCGTCACAAATAGGTCCACTGAAAACAGTGGATTCCTGATCAGTGATTAAGGTGACATCATCGAACTGGCAGCAGGTAAATTGTAGCTCCAAGAAAGAGAAGCATGCACAAGTACGTGGTCGAAACCGACGTTAGCATCGACCAGGAGTCACTCACAGTAATTCAATTCGATAATGACAGATCCAGCGAGACACGAAGACGGCACAATCAGATTCTCTTCTTTCATTGAGCCATTATCCAACTGAAAGTAGCCAGTAAGATTTCGAGTTAGTGCCTCGAAAACTGCTACAACTCAGATATTTTCTTCGTGTCCCTAATTCGTACCATCAAAGGCAGATGAAACATCAAGCCTGACAAACCCATCATACATGGGTTCCCCCATTCAGGCAATGTCCAAGAATGCCGAGGGGGAATGGAAGACCTACAGCAATAATTTCGAGACCTTCGAATTACCAGATCCACGTAGAAATTAACAGTGAATGACCTCCGGCGTCTTATTCGAGTCCGACGAATACCCTAGGTTCGCAGGAACTTAGGTCCTTCGGCAAGTGAGCAATCGAGCATCAACCACTCGCATACGTAATATATCCTGATTGAGATAAACAAAATGAGGAAGTTGAAACACAAGACTTTTCTTAAAAGAGAATGGAAGCGATATATTGACCTGATTAAGCCGCTCTTCGCCGGCCTTCCGCTCTTCGGGATTGGTGCTGAGGGCGGATTGCAGCACGGTGGCTAAAGTCGGCAAATCCATGGCGACTAGAATCTTTCACCACTCTCTTAGGTCGTTCAGCAGCTAAGCATCGGGTGCAGTACCTTCAAGTCCCTGCTTTTACACACCACACGCGCACACTACTCACTCAAACCCCAGGATCCATCTACAATCACAGTTAATCTGCTAGTTTTATAAAACACCACAAATGACAGGACAAAGTACTTCACCAAAAAATAAAAAAATAAATATACTTCTAGATTCAACGCCACGCCTTCCCCTTCCACCTCAACTCAAGACCCAACTCAAATTAAAACTCAACGTGAACCCGTCACACAACCTTCCCGTCACTTAATTAAACCTTTGCCACCACATAAACCTCACCATCGCCTCTTCATCCACCACTCAGACCAAAACAAAAATCTATGCGAGGACGCCCGATCACCACAATACTAGCTCACAATCCTCATACCACATTCGCATCGCTCCTAAATCCGTGAACTCAAAAACCTCTCAGATCACCTCTCCATCCCGCAGCTGAATCTCTCTAACCCAAGAAGCCAACAGAACTACAGACCAAAAATAAAATGGGATGAAAAAAACACGCAGTCACCAAACATGAGGCAACAGCACCCTCAAGAATTGTAAGGCCGAGGAGAACTTACAAATGGAACGATGAGAAATGGAAACTCCCGGAGAGGGATAGAGTGAGGAGGAGGAAGCAATGGAGAGAGTGGATCCGGAGGGTCCGGGGGATGATGGACCCGCAGGGGGGAGAGGGAGAGAGAGAGGAGCGAGGGAGAGAGGCGCAGGAAAGTGGGGAGGCGCCGAAGAGGACGATGGAAAGGGTGGGCGTTGAGGGGGGGAAGTGCAGGCAGGGCAGGGCAGGAGGGCAGGAGGGCAGGGCAGCAGCCGGGGAAGCGAGAGAGAGAGAAAGGGGGAGGGGGGAGCAACTGCTGCTACTGAGTCGCTGTGCTTTCCCTTGAGGAACTCATGTGCCCTAATATTCTCTTCTTCTACCCCTCCTCCTCCTCCTCCTCCTGTTGGTTGTTTCCCCACCCCTTGTGGCCAAGCCTAGTTGCGGAGCCACCACCCCCATCCCCCCCCCCCCGCATGCCCTGCTCTGTCCTCCTCCTCCGCTTCCGTCTCCGTCTCCGCCTCTCTCTCCCTCTTTCCTCCCCTTTCCTTTCCTTCCCTCCCCCTTGTGCTCTTCTTTCTGCTCGTGTCCACCTCTCTCTTACCTTCGCTCCCCCCATCACCGCGCCTTCGTCCCCCAGATTTCCTCTTGCGCCGGATACAGCGATTCATATGGCCGCCGCGAAAAGTCCATGCGAATCAAAGCTGCCATTGCAGAGCCCATATTTCTCCTCTCTCCCTCTCCCTCGGAAATTTTCCTTTTCTTAGATTTAGAGTGACCCTACATATGAGCCAATAGGGATAGAATTCTCTCACATTTCGTCTCATCAATGGCATTAACTTAGATTTTCTTTCATTACAGAAAAAAGCATACAATGTATAAATATTATTTTAATATGTATATATATATATATATATATATATATATATCCATATAAAATTACATTGTTTTGGTATGTATAATTTGGTTTGTTTTTTTAGAATGTATAATTTAAAATGTGGATATTACAATGATTGCACTTGATTGGTTTTGTAAAACATAAGAAACATAAATTTTATAATATGCAATATGGACAATATGGACATCAATGATATAATTTCTTTATTTTTTTGCATATTTCAATTGTATTGAACTTGCAAAAATGTACACTTCTTCTATTGTTGTAGATTGTATATAGAGAACAAATAGGTTTAGAATGTCCATATTGCATATTATAAAAATAACAAGTTTTAATACTTCTTTTACTATTATTATTTCTTTTTAAATATATGTATATATATTTATTTATTTATTTATTTATAAATTAGAAATTAATCCAACTTTTTTTTAATTGTATTAGTATATTTGATCCATATGCATTAGTATTGATATAGATTTGGCATTAATAAGTACCATAAAATTGGCATTTTTTCTCTTTAATTGTCTTATTTTGTATTTTTTATATTTCTAAAAATGTTTAATCAAATTATAAGAAATATTTTTTAAACAAGGTAAAAATATGTTGATTTTTATTTTTTATAGATTGGACCATTGTGTTTAATCTTCTTCTAAACAGCTTTATAATTTGGAATAGTTTAATCTTTGTACCAAGTATGAAATAGGACTAAATTATCTCAAAAATCTAAGATTCTTTTATTCCACAATAATATAAAACTTCATCACAAAATAGGACAAAACAAACTAGATCAAAACTAAAAGGAACTAAACAATATAGGACATGAAAGAGAAACTAAGCATATGGAAATAAAATAGAACATAATTGAATAAAAAGATGCAAAACTAAACTTTACTAAGAGAAATGGTGCAAAGCCATATTTGACCAGATACTCCAAAAGGCCCTAGTCAGTCCTATTTGTACCTTGTCTTACTACCTTGGATGTTCTAGAATGTTCTTAGGTGATAGATCCCACCTAAATAACCATCCTAAGCTTTTTTTAGAAGGTTCTATCATAGGCCCTATTTAAATAACCGTCCTAAACTCTTTGTAGAATGTTCCATAGTGGATCCTATCTAATTCACTAAACTAATCCCAATTCTAAAAACTTCCATGGTTTTATTTATCTATACAATTATCTTATCTATACTCTATTATAGTTAATCCCCCTCCACTAATGTAGAACATCCTCATTTTTCTCCCAATGCTATCTCTAAATTATCTCTTGGCAATAGATGAGATTTTGTACATGTTCTTACATTGTATTGTGAATGGGATAACCTATCCAAAGAACTTTGTACTGAAGTTGTAGACTTCCGCTACCATGATGAAGGTAATAATGCTCCAAAATGTTGCCTATTTCATATTCTTGTTGATCATCAACTATAACTGGTGGTGGTTGTGGTTAATGTCGATCCGAAAAGTGCTTTGGCTTGGTATGAAATTCCTTCAATTGTGAAACATAGAAGACTAGATGGACCGGAATATGTAGCAGAAGCTCGAGGCTGTATGTAACATTAGAAATCACTACAAAAATATAAAAAGATCCAAGCCATCGAGGTGTTAATTTATGGATTTGGGTTGATGTAGCAATTTGCAAGTTGGCGTTAGAGAGTAACACTTGATTGCCCTCCCAAAAGGTCTTATGTTACTAATTGTTATCCCTATATTACTTCTGTCAATTCTTTGAAGTAAGCAGGCAGTGCCGTTGTCGTATTGTGTGATTTGCTATTTGGAAATATATTGGGTATCTAGCTGTAGAGAGTTTAGCTTAAACCTTTATATGAATCTTGTCTTAGCTTCCAAAACTCCTTTGATTTGTATAAAACTCAAAATATAACAAAATCCCTTCAAAATATTTTTTTCTCGCGAAGGATTTTCTTATCTTGAACTTTAGAAATTCATAACTCTTGATTTAGCTATTCAATTTGTTTCAAATTTATAGGGTAGGTAGAATTCATCTTTAAATTTTATTACAAAAAAAACCAACTGTAAATTCACTCCCGATCTTTTGACATCTAAGAAATCCTAGCAGATGCTCTAAATTCTAATTTACAAGCACCTAAGTATTATTTTCTTAATATCTCAAGAATCCAATTTTTAAATATCATCAAACTTATGTACAAAGTTTACTAACATGAATTTATACATTTTCTGAAATTTTGAGCCAAAAATTTATCAAATTACTCAAGATATAGCTTAAGACACAACCACTAGTAAATCAGGTCACTTACTACCCTTAGATTGCATGTGCTAACTTCAAATCCAATAACTCTTTTATTCCAACTTGGAATCCAACAAGCAGTATACAAAAAGTGTAGGTAAAAAAGTGCTTTCTCCAATCATAATTGCCAATCCTCAATTGCCTTTCGTACACATGTGTTATGCCAAAAATAGTGACAATAGCTCCCAAATCAATGCCTTAACTTTGAGCGCCTTTATTTCTTTCATATAAACTCCAAATCATACAAAATTTGTACCAAAACCATAGCCAAAAACCTAAACTTCCTAACCCTAATCTTCAAAGCTCAAATGGCTCTGAAAAACTAATCCTAATCCCTAATATGGCCTTGGGCAGCCTCTTCAAAGTCCATTGGTCATGATTTTTGACCAATAGGAATGGAGATTTTCATCATCCATCTCCATTCATCTATATTGGTGCCCTCATTACTTCCTTTGCTACCAAAATCCTTCTTCAATCCTTTTTTTTATGAGATTTACATAATTTATATTCTAAATACCAAATAAAAGAACCAAAATAAGTTTTCAAAAGTCACCAATGTCTAACAAAGGTGACTCTAAATATTTAGAAGTTACTATCAATCAAAATCAATCTTAAAAGCCACTATCAAAAGAAATTAAAGTTATACAAATTCTATAGTAATCTTTTTGAATGATCTCTTCTCAAGATAATAATCAAATTATATTTTACAACCAACTAAAATCTATTAACATGGCTCTCACTATGTTCCTTAGTAAATTATATATTAAGTATATAATTACATTATTCTCATATAATAGCCGAACTACAACACAATACCGTGCCTCTTGTAAGGTCGTTGCAAGCCGTTATATAAATTCTTCTATTGTCGGGTTGTTAGTGTTGATGGGACAATAGAGAGTTACTAGCATAATTGGATGGTGATCAATATTAAGAAAAAATGGTGAATGATCGGTACTTACTTGAATACTATCAGTATAAGCAAACTCTAAGGGCATCAAGTATTTATTCTAATTATTATGATGAACCACCACAAATACCCATAGCATATCTTCTAAGGACCAATTTGCATGCTATATTTATCCATCTGTTTGAAGATGGAAGGCTATGAACATGGCAAGTTGTGTGCCTAGTAGCTTGAAAAAGACTTACAAAAACTTCCCTTGAAGCGAGGATCCCGATCTGAAATGATGACATGAAATAATCTATGGTGACAAAAGATGGTATCAAAGAAGACTCGTACAAGCATTGGGGTATAAATATCTGAGTACATTATGGCTAAGTGAAGTCGCTTCAAAAATCGGTCTACAAAGATGGCAACCACAATATGATTAAGAAGCATTTGTGACAAACACGTAATGAGATCTATAGTCACCTACTGCTAACATACCGTAGATAGTAGAATTGGCTACAATAGTTTAAGAGATGTTACATAGCGAGCTTTGTTATGTTGACATATCTTTAATTAGAAATTTAATTTAGATTATATTAAGATTTCTATTTTTAGTATTTTAAAGGATTCTTTTTGTTTCTTTTATGACTTTGTTTAAATTTATTTTGATAGATTAAAGTTTGATTGGATTATTAGAGATTATTTGAAGTTTATTCAAGGCTCTATTAGACTTCATAAAATTGTTGTTACATTGTTACTTACCTTCCATAGCTAGATGTCTAGTATATTTTCAAGCAAGAATATATGTAATATGACAATACTTAGGAAATAGATTATATCCAAGCTTGGTGAATCAACCATTAAAGCAGCATTAGGAATTATTGACAATATGACTTTTTCTTATTTATTTATTTTTATTTTCTTTTTTTCAAAATCTTATTAAATTGATGGTGGAGTATTCTTAAGAAATTATTCAAGAATTATTTTTTATATTATATTTGTAAATAAAAAAGATATAGCAGGTGGAAAACATGATTAAATCCTTCTACCATTAAAGAATTGCTACTAAAAAAGAATTTATAATCAAATAAAAAGAAAGGATATAAGGAATAGAGGAGGTGATTAAATTCTTGTAACCACTAAAGATGGACCTTCAATAAGAAATTAACAAGAATGGAAAGTGATGACCAAATTTAAAGAAAAGCTCTATCTTTGATGAAGATCTTCATCTAATTTTAATTGATCCTAATACTTAAAATAATCCTAAATTTGTATCTAAACTTTC